GATTTCTTGTGCGGTGTTCTTAGCTTGAGCAAGACATTTTAATCTCACTGTGCTTCACTCCACTCAGGGGTATCATGGATACCAACGAATTATAGCCGTAAAACGGAATGCAAGGCTGGCATTACGGCAACAGGGCTGGTTTATTGAGGCCAATATTTAGACTTACAACATAATTCTTTCTTAAGGCCATGGCTATAATAAAAGAAAACACTTCAACGCTTCTTTAAATATTGGCCTCAATAAAACAGCCCTTCTGTCGTGATGCCAGCCTTCAATTTTGTTTCGGTATCCATAATACTCTGAAGTAGACTGAGGTAACTTAGCAATAAGTTGATAAGTTTCTTGTGTCGTGTGGACCTCTGCATTAAAAAAACCTCTGAATTATTGGGGTTACCTTATGATAAAATATAAAATCTCAAGCCATTATTAGGCGATGAGCGGGGTCTTTTCTATCCCAGACCTCGCTCGCCCCCCTTTCCCCCACTTCCTGCCCCCCACCCCCTCCCCTCCCCTCACCACGTTTTCGATCGTTCCCACTCCACTGACCGAGAGCCTGAAACAGGCTAAAGGCAAGTTTTCTATACTTCTTAAAGTTAGCGTTACTGAACTCCTTACCATTGACAAAAACAATTCTTGTACCCTTGGGTTTATCACCTCCGTAGTAAGCATTTTCAAAAGCCACTCTTTGATAAACCTCCTGAGCCGGAATATTGAACACGTCTGAGCATATGGCCAGGTTATAAAAGAGGTCTGGTGACGAGACGGAAAACACACAGCTTGTGTTCTTTTCACATGTCTGATCTGAAAACAAACAGAGCAATGACGTCAGTTACATGGAGTGCTGTTTTTATTGCTTGAATAAATGCACCAACTGATGACAACATAGATAAACAAGAAATATTGTACATAGAAAACAAACATGTTAAAAATCCCAGCTAAATGGCTGGTTTTCACATGACGTCACTAAAAATCAAACTACAAAACTATTGATCTTCCTGAGATTTAACTTAAGTGATGTATAAGAGCAGCTGAAAACTAATATTCAAGCAAACTTTCGCTCCGAATGGGTTCTTGGTTTTGTAATACACTACACTTGAATTCCTAAGCTTTTACGTGACGCGGCATTTACATGACGGCCTAGAGAGCTGTCATTATGGTTAAAAAAGTGACTTATATATTTCGGGAAATTTGGCTATCTGAACAGTTCATGTCTAAGAAGAAGTATTGTTTTAATGTTTTAGAGTTCCTCGAGGGATAAATTCAAGCTTTTGTGGCACAACTCAGTGACAGATGTTTCTGTTGGTTTCCGGCCGCCATGTTGGTGCCCATCCGTATGGGCACCAGCATGGCGTCTCCATACAAATCTCTATAAATTNAAACAAATTTTCGCTCCGAATGGGTTCTTGGTTTTGATACACTACACTCGAATTTCTAAGCTTTTGCGTAACGCGGCATTTACATGACTGCCTAGAGAGCTGTCATTATGGTTAAAAAAGTGACTTATTTCGGGAAATTTGGCTATCTGAAAATTTCATGTCTAAGAAGAAGTATTGTTTTAATGTTTTAGAGTTCCTCGAGGGATAAATTCAAGCTTCTGTGGAAAAACTCAGTGACAGATGTTTCTGTTGGTTTCCGGCCGCCATGTTGGTGCCCATCCGTATGGGCACCAGCATGGCGTCTCCATACAAATCTCTATAAATTTGTGTAGAATCTTCCTCCGCATATCTTGGAGAAGAAAAGTTGCTGTGACCAGAATCTTGGCGAGAGTCTTTGCATATTTACCTTCTCTCATTTCCCAGATTCTGGACTTAATCTATTGAACGGTTTTGAGTTTTATTTTGATCTATTTTGAATGGCGTGACACTGAAAACCAGCAATTGTGATGTTATTGTTATTTCTTTGAAGTTAGGCTCAGTAATTTAAAAAGATCGCCAAAATTGCTACTACAATAATTACAAAAAGTGAACCGATTGCCAAAAGACCTCTCTGCATTTCCCTTTTCATCTGCTGGCCATATCTGGTCGCGGGAAGTGTGCCAATAATTTGACTTTTGATATTTTCATGTGGGAAGGCAACCGTGGGGACCTCGAACTCCAAGAAATCACACAATGGCTTCCATCCCTCTTTTACGTTGTACACTAACAGCTTGTCAGCGGGAACAATGGACTTTACACGGTGGTTGTGGATACGATATCGCTTTCTTATAACAAAGGTGGACTNGGCGTCTCCATACAAATCTCTATAAATTTGTGTAGAATATTTCTCCGCATATCTTGGAGAAGAAAAATTGTTGTGACCAGAATCTTGGAGAGAGTCTTTGCATATTTACCTTTTTTCACTTCCCAGATTCTGGACTTAATCTATTGAACAGTTTTGATTTTTATTTTGATCAATTTTGAATGGCGTGACACTGAAAACCAGCAATTATCATCAGCTGGATTTACAAAGAGAGATATGTAAAAGCAGGTGTGTGGCTAAATGTAAAGTAAATTATGTCAATGCACGATGTCCATCGATTCAACGGATACGATTATAAAATGTTTTTCTCTGTAAAAACCGACCACTCATTTTACTTCGAAAATTCGATTTTTCTCATACGCTGGGATTTCGAAGCGTTTACCTAGTCAATCACTAAAACGAGCTTTATTTGATTAAAAATTCTAATTGAATTTTCTAGCATTGATTGAAGTTCGGTCCGCTCGATATAAGTTGCATGCCTGCCGAAACTGGAAAAATAGCACATATTGTCGGCGCTCTAAAAAAAATTAACATTCACTCAAAAGCCCCAATTTTTTTTAACGATAGATTTATCATAGCAGTTTGTTTAGCCATGTTGCAATTATAATTCAATGTTGTCCCCTCAACGGTTAAAAGAAGATTTTCTGGCCGTTAAATCGAGTTTACGTGGTATATTTTCGTAATACCGGAAATACGTAAATACGTTATTACGAATATATGCTACATAAAAACACGTCCCAATGTAAAATTCTCATTGTACCTGAAGAGGGCTGGTCTGGCCAGCTGAAATATAGTACACCTTAAAAAAGAATCATCCTATGTTGTGTCGGTCACCTTTTATATTTTTCAAGATACGATAAACGATAAGAGAGTTATCCGCCTTATTCCAAAGGTAATTCCTCTCTCTAAGTTAGTTTTAGACATGGTACCAGTTCTACGGTTAGTTTCGATGGAGAATGAAATTGTGTATAAGCGCCTTAGGCTTTTCGCGAGAGCAAAATTCGCGTCACAGCGATTGACAACCTCGTTCTCTCAGGGCTTTACCTGGGAACGAGGTTGAATGTATTTCCAGATCCCTTCTGGGATTTCCTGAGCCGGAGGTGGTCTAAAAATAGCATGAGAGAGATAACCTATATGGGGAATTATCTATATAAGGAATTATCTCCTCTCTTGCCTCTCTTATCCTTCCTCCTCTCTTGCCACGTGATAATTCGTTGTGATCAATTCGGGTACAGGATGGTGTTAGGCTGATATAGTATATACCAAACCAGTAGTGGATTGTGTTTCTCTCGCAATCTTGGGATAGTGTTTGCTATCTACCTCTTCTGCTCGCGAGAGTCGTAAACAAAAGGGCTTCTTGGTTACCTACCGTAACAGAAGAAGACATTTAAGCAATCTACGAAGCAGTGGCCCTTCGTGGCTCGGTAAATGTGCACCGACACTGTAAGGAGGAATTTGCAAATAGATCTTTTCCTAAGCAATTCTTGCATCCTTCCCTCTTCGCTATCATCGCTCAGGTAAGCTCTTTTAAAAGTACTAACAGGATAAGTGTAAACAATTTCGTGCTCTATTAACTAGACACCATGACAACCTGAACTGTTTGGGAAACAGGAAAGAAGCTCTATTTGGAAGACAAGGTAGTTCGAAATGAAATAAATTGAAATAAATGGAATAAATTTTAGACCGTTTTATTTTGTAAACATTTTAATACAGTTTAATGGGGTCAGTATAAGCGGTAAACTAAATTAATTAAAAGTCATTTTAAATTCCGCAATAGACAATTTGAAAAGAATTAGTAACTTAGTAGCCTAGTGTGTATTTCAGCCACCTCAGATTTTGAAGGACAATATTGCATTCAGTTTTTCGGTGACTGAATCGCACTGAGCACAGATTGAACTGGACCTGAGCAGATCTCGCATGTCAGCTTACAATATTGTTCAAACTTTGAATTGTCGGAACAGCTTTTCTTCATCTCGTTGCAGTAAGTGTCATCCAGAGAATTCCTGCAAACTGAGGTAAATTACAAGAAAATTTGAGATATCGAGTAACACAAATTAAGCACAAATTGAATACGAAAGGTCTACGCTTCATGGAAATTCCACTTATATCTAATATATCGAACCTTTTTGGTACGGTTCAGTCGCATATCAGGAGCGTTTGGTCAAGCCATGTTAGTATTTTGGCGAAACGTAGTCGGGTATGAATTTCTTTATTGTTTTCTTGTTTCAGGACGCTTTGCTTAAGAATTGATTTTGTTTTGCACGAGTAGTACTGAGCCGGGATAATCGCGAACATGATTTTAGGCCGCGCTTCGGCCCAAGACTGTCATAGCTGATGATTGACCAATTTTTAAAATACCTCACTCTTATAAATATTTGCTGTGTGCCAAAGCGGTCGGTTTCTTTTTCTTTTTCGAAACAGTTGTCCATTGTTTAGCAACGATATGACAAAATGCTGTCCAAATACCTCTACAAATGTCTAAAATTTACGCGGTAGCCTACAACACTGGTCAAAGGCATTGGCAAAAGTGTTTCACTCTATAAATGAATAACTGACCGATAAAGTAAGGGATTGTTTTCTGTTTTCCAAAAAACCACCTAATCCCGATAGTTGCTTCACATTCGCTAGTTTAAAATGGCCAGCAAACGGCAAACTCAAATCTGAAATAGCTTTGGCTGCCAAACAAAACTGCGTAAGGTGAGGACGAATGTTTGAAAAGCGTCAGCAGAATTCAATTCTCCGAATTGGCGCGGTCTACATGACATCCTTCCTCTGTCATTTTCCCAGCGAGAGTAACTCTACTCCGGAATCTAATCGAGCGTGGCGTAAGACAAGGTGTATCTTATAAACTTCTAGTTGAAGGCAGACTTACGCTAAAAGCAACGAAACCTAAAATACCTGAGCAGCTGAATATGTTGCATATTCGTGATTCTTTAGCTCCTCCCAATCCGCTACAGCCTTTGCCACCTTTTGTGGGTGGGGGTTTGGTGCATGTGCGAATCCGAGTTTGAGTTCCTCCACCACATGGCTCGCTACACCAACTCCAGGGACTCCACTGTTTGTAGCCACCATTAACAGAAATATCTGAAACAGTTAAGAGACTCATGTAACCAATTGATTATTTCAATAGATCGTTCAACTGTTAAGATGCTTTCATTTGTTTGTTATTACGTGGAAAAGCCCGTATCTACGTTTAAAGCTTAGAGCAGCAGGTTAAGATCTGAAATCTGAAAGATTCTGCATTCAAAAAATGCCGCAATATTTTCTGATCAGTCCACAAACTAAACATAATTAAAAGATAAAGGGGCGTAGCAAACCTTGTTTACACCTTCCACAAGTCCTTGCACATTGGTTTTGAACGTGTTTAACGCTTTTACAATGGCCCTCTGATTTCCATCTGATACACATGTCGTTGCTTGCATAATCTCGGCAGGGCGGTTTCTTTATCACTAAAAATGTAGCGAAACATTAAACTCAGCAGTTTAATAAATGATCCACAGAAAGTTGAGTTGTTTACTCATATGTGGTACTGATCCTGTCTATTTCCTACCATAGCTGCTCCCGCATTCTCGTTAAAGAAGTCCTAGTTTTGCGTATAAAATCACAAAGCTGTAGCCAGAGGCATGCAATGTTCATGAAAAACAAAAAAACAAACAAACAAACAAAAAAAAAACAAAACAAAACAAAACAAAACAATATATATATAATATATATATATGTAATATATATAATAGTTAAGTGTAAGATGAGGCGTCATGAAGCAAACTTCTAACTGTTCCGGCTTTTAATGTGACGTTTCGGTCTTCGGCCTTCTTCAGATTGGAACAATATTTACAAGTTAAAAAATAAAACGTTAAGAGGATTTTTAACGTTTTATTTATTTATTATTTATTTATTTATTTATTTATTTTTTAACTTGTAAATATTGTTCCAATCTGAAGAAGGCCGAAGGCCGAAACGTCACATTAAAAGCCGGAACAGTTAGAAGTTTGCTTCATGACG